TCGTAGCCAGGCGGAGCTCACTTCCCTCCGTTACCGGCAATCAGCGCTTCAAGCCCTTCTCTTTCCCCTCCCGACACCAATCCTACCAGGGGGCGGGACTTCGAGGTTCCTACCTAGTGGAAGGCTCAGTGATGAGTGGATGGGAAACGAGCACGTCCTCCTCCTGGCCACGTCCCTTGTTGGTCGTGGGGCTTGGATCTTTTAAAATAACCTGGAGGCAGCTTGGACGGCATTCGCCAGCAGCCTCAGGGGGTCGGCGCGTGGCTTGGCGCGAGGCGGTGTGGCGGGCGGCTTGGCTTTCAACGGAAATCTCAGTTTTAGTTGTTTTTTTTTAAAAAGAAAAGTTGCGTCCCGTCCCCATTCTAGCCGATAAGTTCCACGTTCTTGTAACCTCTCTTTTTTTTCTCTCTCTCTCTTTTACCGGCGATGGTCGCGTGGCCTCAGCGTCGCTAGGTGGAGGAAGAGCGAAGGGAAAACAGTAAAGCGAGAGGTCGCCCTGAGGGCCGCCTCGGTCGTTTATTTTTTTCCTTTGGTTAGCGCGGTAATGTCTCCCGTCAGCCAGGAACTGGGAGCAGGGGACGCCGCCGCCGCCGCCGCCGCCTCCAGCGCGCCCTTGCCCCCTCTCGGAGAAAGCGGGGAGGAGGCGACGGCGACAGGAGCCAAGCTGGGGAACGGGGAATGGTGCCCCCCGGGAGAGTTTCTTGCCGCCGTCGACAGCGGAGACGAAGTGGCTCTGATAACGGGGAGCCCTCCGGAGAAGAACGGAAAGCCGTTGCCGTCGCTGTCGCCGCCTTCCCCGCCGCCTCCTCCCCCTTCCCCGCCGCCGCCGCCTGCCCCCCCAGGGCCGAAGGAAGATGAGGCGTTCGAGCCTCCTGAGGGCGGTTGGGGGTGGCTGGTCATGCTGGCCGCCATGTGGTGCAACGGCACCGTGTTCGGCATCCAGAACTCTTGCGGGATCCTTTTCAATTCCATGCTGAAAGTATTTGGAGACCCCAAGGACCCGCAACTTATGTTCAGGACAGGTGAGCCCTGGGGGGGGGAGGGAAAGGGCAAGGGAAGGCGGACCTCGGGAGAAGGGCTCCTCTTGTGCTTCACACCCAAAGCTGCAACAGGAAGCATTGCATTCGTTAAAACAAAAAACAAAAACGAACCAAAGGGGAGACACGGATGGTGAGACGGTCTACTCTCTCCAGCAGACGCTCACAGCCTCCGTTGTTTACTAAGGACCCCCGGTGGGCATTCTTCTCATCCCTCGGATTCCCAAAGGGGCGTAGACACTAGGCAGAGCGGCTGTTCTCATCCTGCTGCGGAGGGAGTTGTGTCCCTAAACACCTAGAGGGCAATAACCCCTCCTCTCCCTCCCTCCCTCCCCTAGCTCTGTTTTTAATGGAAGCGTTACAACCTTGTAGGCAGTGGGTACCTCTGTGATTAGGTGGTAGATCCAACCGGCTTTCCTTGCAAAAGAATTGAAGCATCAGAGCCAGCATTTCCTGACCTGTTAAGGGCAGAGATGCATGTTGTGATCCAGTCTGTGAATACTGACGTGGCTTCTGATACATAACAGTAGTTGAGAAAGGGATTCCCCAGCAAGAATCTATATGTTTTTGTAAGTTTGGTGCCTTGCATCCATGGAAGTGCCATAAAACTCTGGATATTTTACCTTTATGTAGGCACAAATGTCATTTGATGGTGGTTTGTTGGCAACCCATTTAAGAAACAGAGGATCCATCTTTTATATCCAAGCTTGCATAGCACAGTAACATATGTTGTTGACTTTTTTAGATTGCTGATTTTTATGGTGAAGTGTATCATTATAGATGAGAACTCCAGTTTGTTAATAGTCTTGTGGTTATCCCATGTAAAACCGCGATGAGTCATGACCTGTATTTATATTTTACACTATTGTGCAACAAAAGTTTTGTAAATTAGTGATTCATTTTTTGACCAATTTGTTGATATTATGGTAGTGCTATGAATTCCTAAATCCATGAACTTGACATTTCTGTCCAGGGGCACAGATACGATTTGATAATGATTTTGATGGCATCTCTTAAAAATGGAAAAGGATCTGTGCTGCTGGGTTGAGTTCTTGAACTATGGTGCCACGAAGAACAGCCTGTATGTAATTTATGGTGCAGTTTGTAGAGCTAGGTCATGGATTTCATCCAGGATGTATTTCATTTAAATCAAATTGATTTTTAAATAAATGTAAATCATTATTTTAATTTTTTAAAAATCATTTTTTGATTTAAATTGTGATTTAATAAATTAGATTTAAAAATCATTGATTTTTTTATCCACCATGATTCCATCCATAAAAGCTTGTTATTTGTTTAATTTTTTAGTGGTCCAATAAAAGATTTCACCCACTCTTGCATTTGTAGAGCTAGCTGACTTCTAAGCCAGGTTCCTGTTTATACACACAGAGCACACAAAGATGCAAGCGGGACTATGATTAGCTTATCAAGTTGTGAAAGATGTGGAAAGAGTAAATAGACTAGCAACATCTTTGAATCAGAAAAGGGAGAGTGGTGCATATCTTCCAGATTTGGTAAAGTTATACGTACCTTCCACATGTTCCCTTTGTTCGACATGTCCCAAGTTTCTCCTGTGATGGGGTGAGGTAATTTATGGGGGTGGTGCTTGCCATTTCAGATCAGACTGCGTTAGGGGTTGTGGCGATGCCTATTGATGTAGTCCAGAAATCCATATTTGTAATACAGTATGTGGGTCTGCTGCACCCAGAGAAAATCTGTGTGCAGTGAAGCTGCCTCAAATGAGTTGGGAGTTGCAGGAGTGATTCTGCAGTCTGTGGCTTTTTCTGAGTGGTTTTGCCTGACTTGTGTCTTTTCCCTTTGAGTGTGGATAAAGCATAACTAAGGGAATCCATCTTCTGTTACTAATTGGAGGTAGCAGAAAGATTGCCTCATTTGCCATGCTCTTAAGCGAGAAGGCAGGTGGGGCAAAGAGGAATTTCCCCATACAGTACCTGGAAGCAGGGGTTATGGAAGGGGAGTTTCCTGAATTTTCAGAGCACTGGTTTGCAACACAGAGTAACCCAGAGTAAGCCACCAAGAAATCCTGGCCAGCATTGCTATTGGTGAAGGCTTCCGAGAGTTGCTGTTTAAGAACACCTGGGTTACCCATGGCTGGGAGGTACTGTTCTAGAGGCTATAGCTAGGCAGAGATTCCCCTCCTCTGCTCTACAGGTTGTACTTGGATGAAGCCATTGTTGTCATGGACCACCTAGTTCAGGGAATTCTGTTCCAACTACTTAGCCACACTACCCCACTGAAAGATTTATACGATCTGAAGAGAAACCAGAAACTAGTCTGACCTGACTCAACTGTGTTTCTGGGGAATTGAAAAAAAAAACACAAAGTTAAGCACTTTGACTCTCACGCCAACCTTGCAAAGTAGACTTGCCATCACACCCACAAAACATAGGTTCCTGGTAGATGGACAAGAAAAAGGCTTGTTTTAAGTACCACAAACCCCTTTTAGGAAAAAATAATCTAAAAGCCAGACGATTGAATGGAGAATTTTTAAAAAATGTTTATTGAAGATAGTGAAGAAGGAAAAAGCAAACGTTTTGAAAGTTTTAAAAAAGAGCATCAACATATTTTGGAGCAAATGATCAATTATAATCTAAGGCAGGAACAAGACAGTACTTGTATATTAATTAGAATAGTTTCAGCATGGTCTCGCAGCATCCATAGAAGTACATCCATCATGGCATAACATAGCAGGACAGCAAATGAGCATAGCATCTCCTAAAATAACTTCTGAACTTCTTTTTATACCTTTTTCATCATCACCTTCTGGACCTTTTGAGATGGCCCATCAGTTAAGCTTCAGATTCCCTTGAATGTTCAGGAAGACTAGCAGTTTTTGCCGCCTAGGAAACAAGCCAATACAGCCTTGAAGTTTTACCCCAACAGATAAATTACAGGTGGTGCTTCCATTCCTTTGTGGGCAAAAACTGCCTCCCTTTTTTCTCTGAGTCAGCCATTTCTAAGCACTGGGAAAAAAAGCTTGAACTTTTCCAGAAAGGTTCTTCAATCAATGTTCCTCCAATTTCTCAGTCTATTCACACCTGTCAGCCTTGATGGCTAAATGGAACTTCCATACATGGGGGCAGAATACCAAGAAACACCAGAGCCTAGATGTCAACAACAGGGGAATGAAATTATGCTTGCACTACATTTGAGCCTTCTGACTGAAGGCTTCCTATTTTTCCTAAAAATAGGAAGCTGCATTAGATGAATGCAAGCATCTTGGCTATGGCCCAATGCTATGGTAGTGGAAGAGGTCTGAGGCCCAAGTGTCAGACCTTGCCTTTGGCTCAGCTTTATTTATTTATTTTTATTTATTTATTTTTGGCTCAGCTTTATTTATTTATTTGTATTTATTTATTGTATTTTTACCCTGCCTGTCTGGTCAGATGACCACTCTAGGCAGCTAGCATAGTTGTTTTATAAAAGGCAAGCTAGTGTGATTGAGATGGACTTGGCTAAGACCATGAGAAGAGTACTGAAGCTGAAGTTTGATGCCAAATCAACTATATTATAATTTATTCTCAAAATATTAAAATCACCAAATTAATTTTCCACTGGTATTTTGTATGCTTCAGCTCCCAAAGTCTGAATTCATTTTTTCTTCTCTGCTTCCCCAGTTTTTATCACTTATAATTTTATCACATTGAGATAGATGAAGTTCTTAGATCATATAGCACAGCCCTGTGTGTCTTTCTGGCTGCTTAAGAGGGTTTGCCTTTAAGGGCAGCTAACCATCTAGATATCTAGATTGTTTGCTTTATTCCTCTTCCACAGTATGCTCACAAAGCTTAACACCTGTGTCTTTTCCAGATTCTCATCTGTAAGGGCAAACATTTTGAAACTTATTTGCACAGTTGTGCCAGAACTTTAGATGTACTGGCTACTGTCTTATTAGGCACAAACAAACATCCTACTGCTTAATGAGTGCGTATAGATTGTGGGTTGTATTTTGTTTTCTATTAAGCTGCAGCTTAGATGTGCTGTATGTGCTGAATTATAAATTGCAGTTGATAGAGGAAAATACTAGTTCTGGAGAAACACAAGAAAGTTCTTAACACAGTGGAAAATTAATGTACTGTACATAATTTATTACAAGTAATGAAGGATAAGGCTAATGATGGTTTCCAGTCATTAGAACTATAGAGTCTTTAGTAGCAGAGGTGATCCTGAATGCCAGTTGTTCACGCAAATTGTAGGATGCTGTTGTGTCCTGTCCTGCTTTGTAGGGTTTACACAGGCATATGACTGGACACCATGGAATCAGATGGGTGAATTAAATAAGACAGAACCTTGATGTACTCCAGTAGACCTGCTCTTACTTCCTTTGAAAAGGAAGTAATTGGACCCTTTTCTTTTTATTAAAAATGCTCTTATTTTCTTACAGCTGGATGACAGTGTTTTTTACTTACCTTATCGACAACTGTAGGTAGAAATCTTTGTAGCCCAAATTTATTCCGTATATTAAAAAGTTGAACTTGAAACAAAAATACAATAGTTTTTCATGTGAAAATGGCAACAAGAAATCAGATGAATGCAACCTTTTCAGAGTCTTGTTGATTAGAGCAGTATATAAATCAATTGATCAAGATCAAATTATAGGTCAGTAGTGGAGAGAATACCTGGGTGACGCATTACTGTGTATGTTGTCATCTGTGTGTATCATCAGCTCCAAATTCTGATAGAATTTGTTGTTGTATGTTGCTTATGGACAATACACTGGCACAGAATGTTAGTGGCATTTTTTTTATAATTAATTTCAATTGAAACTATTAATTCTTTTGAAGTTATTTAATATGCAGAGTTGTAACTTTCTAAAAATCTGCTTTAAATTAACATTGAAAACGTTCAAAAACTCTTGGAGTGCTAATGTAAAGTCTGAATATATGCAGCTTTTCAAATTTTTTGTCTTATTGTGATAAACAGTGTGTTTCTTTTGGATGGAAACTGGAAAAGAATAGTCAGCT